TGTAATTAAATATGTGAAAATTGTGACTTCTAAAAAAGTAGTACCCGTGACTTCTAAATTATAGTATGGTATACATGGGAACAAATTAGAGCCACAATCTTTCCAAATTTCAAACTTCGTTTTAATTTAGACGATGTTACTTATGCCTGTCTTTCTCCAGAGTGCGTTCAAGATGTGAATATTCCTTTTTTAATACGTGAAAACTTAGTGGTTATGCATATATAACTTCTTTAATATTGTATATATGTATTCTGTAGTGTGTTCACCATTTGTTATTAGAAGCAGACACTAAAGAAAATTTGGTCCTTGTTAATGATTAAAAGTTCAGAATGGATAATATTTTTATCACATTTTTGGTCCATTGGAATCCATTGGACTATGTCATCTAAAAATGCACAATCTGTTCAGTGAGCCCAAAGCGTAAGTGAGAAAGGTGCAGTTGGATTAATTTTTCTGAAAAGAATCCATGAACAATCATGTAACTATGAGTAGAAAAGCTAAACAACAATATTCGAAACTAATTGTCCATTTCTTTTTTTCGATTTGTGGGTGGGGTGGGTATTGCTATTCTAATGTTGTTATTTATATTTTTCTGCTTCTTACCGTAAATGAATTTTATTACTCCTCTAAACATATTAACTAAAGTTATTTTTATCTGTAATACTAGACTTGCAGAATACATGCTCATGTGATCATTTTTTTAGTATGCATAGCTTGAATTCGATGCTCCTGTCCAGATTTAGCTTCTTTATCTTGAATGATAGAATCTTTTATATTTGTTATTTGGTAGTTGCATTTCAATATTTTTTTTCAAGCCAAGTCTGCAGAAGTATTATTTATGGAGATCAACCAAGGAATAGGTACATTTTGTGAGATTGAAGTCTTTGTCTAATATTTTTTCACTTCGTTTACTTCCAATGTTGATTATAATATAAAAGTACTTTCCAGGTTGGATTTATATTTTCCATCAAATGAAGATGGCCTGAAACCTGTGGTGGCATTTGTAACTGGTGGGGCTTGGATTATTGGGTGAGTAAACTAGAAGTTATTTCCTTTAACTTATTTTCGTCCGCCTATCGTTTTAGGTAGGGATTTCAATGGTGCCATTCTGCCAGCTTTCCCGCCTCCCCTAAATTCGACCTCCGCCACTTCCAGCATCATATGTCACCACCAACTGCTCTTACCATTTTCTATTTGCTATAAAAATATATCTTGTGTATAAATCTTTGAATTTATGTTTACAGAGAAATTATTTTTTGTACAACATTCGTTAGTTTTAGCTTTTCCCTTTATTTTATTTCATCATTTTCCTTTTTCCTATTTTCGAAAAGTTAGCCATTGCCGGTTGCCCTGAATTAAAAATTTCAGCGCCATTTTAAACACTATAAAAA